GCTATACTGATTCTTGAAAATATTCACACTTGTGTCTATTGTGTAAATACATTTGCACATAAAACCCTAGTGAAAGGTCATATAAATCTAGTTTTACCTATGATATTTAAATGCTAGCTACACCACTGAGCTAAATCTCCAGTACCCATACTTTTCCTCCAATAAATTTGTAATGCTTGTCTAGCAAAATATCCAGTAAGCCATATGTTCAAGTTTCATGGAAAAATTACATCTATGTAATTTGCCAATGACCTTTTAACAAAAAGAGCAAGCAGACGGTTACATGACAATATATTCTGGTATAATCCACATCTTCACAAGCAATTTTTTTTTCAACTCTTTCCTCCCATATCTTAAGCGAGTTACAGTACTGCTAAACAGACCACTGCTGCCGTTGACATTAACTCGCACTTTGACCAGACTTTGTGCCTCAATTCGCGGAGAGCGAGCGGTGTGCAATTACTTCCCGTGCAAGCCGACAACACTCGAAACGTGTCAATCTCGGATAGTAGTACGGACCTCTCTACTGACTGGTAAGTGGATGCAAAAGTTTCTCTGCGGTTACCCACTCAAGACCGTACTGGGGAGCGCCCGCCCGGGGGGAGGTCTCTGGGGTGAGGACATGCAAGCTCGGGTTTTGCATGTCAGGTTGAGGCTGTGACACTAAGCAGGCAGCATCTGTTTAAAGGGCAGTGTCCTAAGCCCCCCAGGTCTGCCCCGCACTCACCCGGGTCTGCCCCGAACGCGCCCAGCTCCCGCGCAGCCCCCGCGGCTTCCCCTGCCCAGCCTCGCAGGTGTCACGAGCGGTACCTGCGCGGAGTGTTCAGCTGCCGCTGCTGCTCGTCGCCTTCGTCCCCGTCCGTCTCACAGTCGGGGTGGCAGTAGCATGTAAGCCCCCGTTAGCAGAAGCAGAAGCCGGACCGGTAGGCCGCTCAGCGCGCCCCGCGGGCCGGAGCACCGGCTGCTCAATGCACCCAACGCTACGGCGCCTAGGGAGCGTGGACTGGCCGCCCAGCCATTCCACCACCCAGCCGCCGCCTCGCGCGCAACCCCAACCGTCGCCTGGAGCGCCGCTACCGCCATTCTGCGCCCGCTCGCTCCGACGCCGGCCGGTTACGCGCAACCTCGCCCCAATGCCTTCGCAACCGAGAGTTCTAAGCGCGCAGAGAGCCTCCGAAAGGGGCGGGCCAGAGCGCGCGGTTGCGCATGCGCGGGCCCTGGCACCGCACCCCGCGGGCCTGGCACTGAAATCTACCTGATGACTTTAAGCGCTTGTATTATAGGCATGTGTCACCAGGCCAGGCTTATGAAGTGGTGAGTATCGGACCCCAGGGTTCAGAACCCAGAGCTTTGTACATGCTAAGCAGGCAAGCTACAGCCTCCGCTCTGTTATTTGTTATTTATTATTTGAAACAGGATCTCTCTGTGTAGCCAGCCCAAGCTGCCCTAGAGCTCTCAGCAATCCCCCTGCCCCTGAAGCACTAGGAGTACAGGTGTGAGCCACCATACCTTGTTTTTTAGTTTGGCTTTATTGGTTTTTTGGTTTGGGGTTGTTTGGTTTTTTGAGACAGGGTCTTCCTGTAGTCCCAGCTGGCCTGGACCTCACTATGTAGACCAGGCTGGCCTTGATCTCAAGAAATTCGTCTGTCTCTGCCTCTGTAGTGCTGGGATAAAAGGCATGTGCCACCATGCTGGGCGTGGTTTCTACTTTTCTAAGGAAAATGTTTATGATGAAATATTTCAAATTGAGTAATACAGACTGACTACTGGCTTGAAATTTTATCACTTGATTTGTTCTCCCCACCCCTTCAGCTTTATTGAGATATAAAAAAGGATTCATTTTAAAATAGAAAGATAAAAATATGAGAAATCCCTTGTGACCCATTCTCCATTTGCATCTGTTTCCCTCTCCAGTGGTGAGCAGGGTCTTGAGAATGAGGTATACCGTTATTCCCTTACAGGTCCTTACACGCATATTCATAAACCATATGTTTTCTCCTGCACATTCAGACATATAATTTAGATGGAATCAGACTGTACCTATCATTCGGAATCTTTCTCCTTTCTCAAAACTATACTTTGGATTAGTTAATTTTCACTGCTTATTGTAAGACTGACCCATGATTTACCTACTCCCTCACTGAGGGATTTCAATTATTTCTACTTTAATGCTCTTTCAAAGCAGGCAGGAACATTATGTGCAAGAATTTCTTCAAGAAGCTCCCTAGAAATGGGTTTTCTGGGAAATTTTCAACTTTATGAGCTCTTGCCAAATTGCACCCAGAACTGACTGCATCATTGCATCAGTTGGCTGTATCTGTCCTTTGAAGAGGACTAATGTTGTCCCTGAGAAATCTGAGAGTACCTAGTTGTGGCAGGTTGGGGTGGAAGTTGAAGCAAGGGAATAATGGTGCAAGGGGATCTGCTTGAAAGCACAGAACCCAGAGTGTGTGCTACCTGAAATCTTACCCAAGAGGCCTGGGCAGGAGGGCAAACAGACTTCAACATAGTAACCTGGTATATCACCATATTCTGAGGAGCTAAAACAGAAGCATATTCACCTCGCCAAAGGAACCTCAAGTGAATGGTTCCCTGGTGAGGAAATTGCCAAGGGGATCACTGGGAATGTTCCTAACAGCCTGCCATGGGCTGGGTTTGGCAGTGCTTGCTGTAATCCCAGAATTTAGGAGGCAGAGGCAGGCAGATCTCTGAATTTGAGACCAGGTTGATCTATATATGGAGTTCCAGGCATATACAGTGAGACCCTGCATTCCACAGGGCTTATGCTCCTCTGCCTGAGCAGTGGGAGACATGTCAGAACTTCCCCCATCCCCTTGGCTCTCCTCACAGATGCCATAACTCAAGCAGGGTGCATTGGGGTGTGAAGAAAGCTTAGATGGCTGGCTTCCCCAAGCCAGCTTTCTCTCTTCAGTCTGAAATTACCTCTAAAGACAAGAAGTCGGTCCACCAAAACATGTAAATGACCAATGAGAGAAAAATAGTCCCTTTGAAATTACAGCTCAAAGCCATGATTGTTTAATAAGCAGCATTCCTCCAGGGTGACTTTCTCCTATCTTCTGGGAAGCTTCTAGAAGCTTTACTAAATGGAATTTAAGTTTTTGGTTTGGTTTTGATTTTTCAGAGCTGAGGACCAGGGTCTTATTCACAATGGCAAGTATTCTACCACCAAGCTCTATCTTCACCTGTTGAAATTTGTTTTAAAATTTGCCTAAGTCATTTGTCATTTAAAGATGAAACAGTCACCCAAACCAAAACAAAGAAGAAAGCTTCCCAAACCTCATGAAGTTGGTGTGGAGATTCCACAGACCTGAGGTGGCAGCGCTGCTTCCTGCAGTTGAAGTTAATCAGAATGACTAGTCACATAGGCCTGTCATCAGTGATCCCCAACTGAGCTGAAACTCAAGTGCATATCATTTCACCCACTAAATGCAGTCCAGGATACAGAACCAACAAAGGTCCAGATAGATATGCACACATATATGTGTTCTTTATACATCTACAGCTTTTTTCCTTTGTAGTACAAAGGACTGAATCTACATATAATTTTCTCACTATGCTACCCTGGCCTATGCATACCTATGCAAGAAAGAAACTGACTTTTGACCTCTTTAGGTAGTCGTTGTCATGTCTATTTCAAACCAACTCATTCAACTGACTATCAGGCACCCTGCTCTTCTGTGATTTCCCCCCATTCTGTACAGAATTGCTTAATCTGTCAGGCAGAGAATTTTAAGTCTCCCCAGTCAGGTTTTGCTAGTGGGGTTTGCATGCTCAGCAGTGCCTCCAAAGGCTTGATATGGGAGTTTTGCACACTATTGAATTCATGCCTCCTCCTGCCCCTGAAATCACCCAAAGTAATCACCCTAATGTAAGATTTGAAAAATCTTAGGGGAAAACACTTCAAGGTTTTCTGAGAAAGATTCCAGTAGCTCAGGAAATATCAAGAACTGACAGATGAGATTAAGTGAAAGTAAAAAACTTCTGGATACCAAAGAAAACAGTTAACATCTTGAAGAGACAGCCTGGAAATTGGAGAGAATCTTTTCAACCAACACAGCCACAGAGACCAAGCGCATAGAATATAGAAAGAGCTTAAAAGACTTAATACCAAGAAGCCAAACAATCCATCCAGCAAATGGACTAATGAAATAACAGTTCTCAAAAAATATACAGGACTGGGAAAATGGTAAAGTAGGTAAAGTGCTTGTCGTTCAAGTGTCAGGACCTGAGTTCAAATCCCTAGAACTCCATGTATAGCCCAGCCCAGTAGCACACATCTGTACTCCTGGTGTTCCTGTACTGAGAGGGAAGATGGAGTCAGAATTCCCTGAAGCTTCTAGGTCAGCTAGCCTGTGATGTCCAGCAGCAAACAACAATGAAAAAAAGACCATGTCTCAAACAGGGTGGAAGGCAAAGGTATCGGAGGTTGTTTTTTTCAACTTCACACACATGCCATGGCACATGAGGCATAGCACATGTGAACCCTCACTCACTCATATGCATGCACACCTATCAAATATAGATACACAAAAATTTATTAATGAAATACAAATGGCCCGTATTTTAAAACATTAAACACCTTTAGCCATCAGGGAAATGCAAACTAAAAGATTATCAGATTCAATCTCACCTCAGTCAGAAGGACTATAATTAAGAAAACAAGTAACAAGTGCTGGTAAGAATGTAGGGAGAGGGGGACCCAAATAGACTTCTGGAGATAATGTTGATTAGTTCAGTCAATATTGAAATCAGTGTTTATGTTTCTCAAAACACTAACAATTAGAAGTGACCCAGCTTTACCATTCCTGGGTATATACCTAGGTATGTACCCATATGGAAGTTTCTAAATCAACATACCACAGAGATGCTTGCACATACATGTTTATTTGCAGTTCTATTCACAATAGCCAAATTAGAGACTCAGCCTAGGTGTCCATCAAAATGAATATCAGGTAAAGAAAATGTAGTGTGCAGACATAATGGAGTTTTCTTTGGCCACAAAGAAGCACAAAATTGTGTCATTTGCAGGAAAATGGATGCAATTGGAAATCATCACAAGCAAAATAATTGAGGCTCAGACAAAGAAATATCACGTTTTCTCTGAGTAGTGAATCCTAGATTTTGTATGCTTACATAAAATCATACGTGTACTTAGGATATGAAAGTGAGACTGTCTAGAGCAGTGAATGAGAACAATGGGAAAGAAAAAAAAGGGGAGGTGGAGGTGAATGTAGTTGAGAGATGGCATATTGTATGGGGATGTCTGTGAAACCCATTTCTATGCACAATGAACATGCACCAATAAAAAAGAGTGCCTTTATAAGCCGGGCACAGCGCACCTTTAATCCCAGCACTTGGGAATCAGAAGCAGGCAGATCTCTGTGAGTTCAAGGCTCGCCTGGTCTACATAGCAAGTTCTAGATCAGCCAGGGCTACATAGTGAGGCTTTGTCTCAAAAGGGTGGGCCGGTGGATAGATGGGTCAGTGGTTAAGAGCACTTGCTGCTCTTGTAGAGGATGCATGTAGTCAAAACATTCATACACATTAAAAAAGTAAGTCTTTTTTTTTTTTTTAAGTGTCATGGGGCTGGAGAGATGACTGTGGTTAAGAGCACTGGCTGATCTTGTAGAGTACCTGGGTTTGGTTTCCAGCATGCACATGGTGGCTAACAATCAGGGGGTCCAACACCCTCTTCTGACCTTCACAGGCACTGCACAACATGGTACACTTACATATGTATAGGCAAAACATACACATGAAAATAAATAATTTGATTAATTAAAAAGTGTCTTCATTGTTAATTGCTATCTTATTGTTAATGTCAGAACAATTCCTGGTTCATCCAAGATGCTCAAACTAATCTGTCAAATAAATGCTAGCTGTATTAGTTACTTTTCTGTTGCTGTGGTAAAACACCATGACCAAGGCAACTTATAGAAAGAAGAGTTTATTGGGCTTATGATCCCACAGAGACTAGAACCCATCATGGGGGGAGGCATGGCAGGGGGCAGTCAGAGCAGAAAGCTGACCACTCACAACTTCAAGCACATGTAGGACACAGAGAGACAAACTGGAGTAGGGAAAGGTTATGAACTCTCAAAGCTCCCCATAGTGATATGCATCCTCTAGCAAAACCTCCACAAACAGTGCCACCAACTGGGGTCAACTATTTCAAATAGTTGGAGCTTATGGGGGACATTCTCCTTCAAACCACCGCATTCCACTCCCTATGTGAGATGTTAACTATCATGATTATAGTAATAACTTACATGTTTCAAATCTTCCTGTTATACACCATAAAATACGGAATCCTGACAGTTTTGCCTAAAAGTTGGGAGAGATGGCTCCGTGGTTAAGAGTGCTCACTGAGTAGTCATGAGGACCTGAGTTTGGATCCTAGCATCCACACAACAACCCAGGTGTCCTACAAACACCTGCAATTTCAGCTCCAAGGAATCCAATGTTCTCTTCTGGCCTCTTCCAGCAGAGGTATGCACACTCTTGAGCATGCACAGGTGCACACATGCATACACACACATACATACATACACACACACACAAATCTTTAAAAAGAACCACTTACAATTAATATCAATGTTGGTTACACACTAGAACCAACTACCATATTTCTGGTGTCAAATTTTTTTGAAGAATTAAGCATTGTATACATGTTTTACTTTTTTTGTTGTTTTTTTTTTTTTTTTTTTTTTTAGATAAAGTTTCACACTGCAGTCCTGGCTGACCTCAAACAAAGATCTGCCTGTCTCTGCCTTTCTAGTGCTGGGATTAAAGGCATGCACCACCACACCTAGCTATTTTACTTCTTGAATGAGACACAATTTTAAATTAAGATGAGAGGGGCTGGAGAGATGGCTCAGCAGTTAAGAACACTGACTGTTCTTGCAGAAGACCCCAGTTTGAATCCCAGCACCCACATGAAAGCTAACAACTGTCTGTAACTCCAGTTCCAGGGGATCCAACAGCATCTTCTGTCCTCCGTGGGCATTACATGACACAGGTACACTTATGTACATGCAGGCAATACAGTCATATGCACAAAATTTTTAAAAAAATAATAAAATTGAAAAAAAATAAGATGAGAAAAAAAATACTGACACAGCAGTTCACTTTCAGTAATCTGGGTTTTCCCAAATAGTGACTTGAAAGCCAGTCATTATGAAATGGACTCTGAGTTTCCCTTTGAGAGTCAGAAATATAGGTCAGGGCTCTGCTGACATTTCCACTTGCCTCATAGGTAAAAATCTGAAGCAATTGCTGACAGGCAGGCAGTGGAGAAGAAGATACAGACCAGCCCAGAGGCAGCAACCTCTTTCTGAAGAGGAAATATGCTGTGAAAGGGCAGAAAGGTAAAGGGATGGTGGTCCTGGGGCACTTACAGGCAATGTGTTTTCTTTTGGAAATGCATGGACCAAACTGTTTTCTCTTCCAAGTTCTGTTATTGCTTCAGACAATGGTTGCTGATGAAAGGTGAGTCTCTAACATTGTCTGGCATCATTCCACTTTTAATAACTAGATGAACAGTTAACTCCTGACTAGGCTTTTCTGCAATTGTGTTGCCTCTGATAAAGAAGTATGTTGCTGCAAATTCAGAAAGGGGTCTCTACATTCCTAAGCCATGAGGACTCCTGTGTTTAAAAATATCATCACATTTTATGCTATTTGAAGAGCTATGAGTTGTGTTTTGACGTTCTTATTTTATTTGAAAACTCAGGTTTTACTGAATTGATAAAAATGAAGTAATCATATAACGTCTTCCTTGAGTGCCTGAGTTACTGAACAACTTGACTAACTGATAGCCATGCCCCAGTGGTAAACCAAGGCCGTTTTCTTGCGGAATTTCAGTAACAGGCTTCTTCTGAGTTCCACAGATGAAAGGTCTCCCTGTAGCTTTGACTAGCTGAAGCAGGCATGCTTCGTTTTCCTTCACTTTGTATTCTTTCACTTCGGTAGTTCTGAAATTTGGGACTTTTCTCACTTTTTGTTCATCAGAGGCTCGTCTTCTGGAAAATGATGGCTGTGTGACTCTGATCAGAAGAAGTTACAGAGGAGAGAGGTGCTGTCTGGCAGGGAGACTAGAGTAAGAGGAATAGCATCCTAACAACAGTTAGATTTCCTAGTAAGTCACTGTGACTTTCAAGGTGACACCCGCCCTTCAGCTTTGATCTAGTTGTCTCTTGTTTAATCTCCTTGCACAACAATGATACTTATTTTGCCTCATTTCTTCCCTCCCTCCTGCTTTCTTTTCTTCCTAATGAAAGTTTCCCAATTGAGATAATTGTGGGGCTGGAGAGATGGCTCAGAGGTTAAGAGCAATGGCTGCTTTTGCAGAAGACCTGGGTTCAGTTTCCAGCACCTACAGGGTGGCTAATAACCATCTGTAACTCCAGAGGATCTGACTCCCTCTTCTGACATCTGTGGGAATTATATGCATGGGTACACTTACATACATACTGGCAAAGCACTTATACACATAAAAATAAATAGATAAATAAAAAGAAAAATGTTTTAAAGATAATTGTTAGGACAAAAAGTAATGTTCATTACTTATTAAATACTGAAATTTAAATATTTTTATTTTTTCTGTAGAGAGAAGCAAAAGTTTTTCTCCTGATTTTGGGCATGAGTCAGCTCACATTTCACTTGGATGTGTTAATAGCCCTTTATATACTCTGCAGCTGGTGTCATGGAGGTATAGTATTTTGTGTATCTATCTCTGTTGCCACTTGCCAGATAGAGTATTGAGTAATCTTGTTTTTTTTTTTTTTT